AAGTGGAGACAGAGGGATGACAGGGGTCGGGGGCAAGGACTGTCAAACTACCTGTTGGGTGCTATGCTCACTACCTGGGTGACGGGTTCAATCATACCCCAAACCTCAAGCAATATAACTCTGTAACAACCCTGCATGTGTACTCCCTAATCTAATATAGAAGTTGAAATTATTTTTATAAATTAAAATATCTGTATGAAAAATATACAGAAATCCCAGTCCAGAAAACATAAAGATACTGAAAAAAAAAAAAGCCTTCAGAAATATTTTTTAAAGTGCATGGTCCAGCTGTCAAGGGAGTTAAAATGAAGAAATCCTCTAAATCCTCAGATGCCAAAAATAGTGGAAAAGTGCAAACCATGAGAGGAAACAGTGCTAAAGATAGAGTTAGTCCCTAACTAACTATCTTGATGTTAGCTAGAGGCGGTTATCTAGGAAAGGGTGTTGTCGCTCACCTTTAAACCAGTGTTTAACTATTTTTTATTTTGTTATTTTTAAAAATTTATGTTCTGCAGTGAGAAGATATCTAAAAAGCTACCCCTAAAGGCTAAGGGATCTGAGAAGCCAAAGAAAGAGGCTAACAAACCCAGTTTATCAGAAAGAAATATTCATTTATTTATTTATAATTTTTACTTCAACAACTTTTGGAGTACAAGTGTTTTTTGTTAAGTAGATGCATTATTTAGTGGTGAATTCTGAGATTTTAGTGCCCTTTCAGCTAAGTAGTGTAATTGTGCCTAATATGTAGATTTTTTGTTATCCCTATCTGCCCTTCCAACCTCCCCTTTGATTCTCTAAAGTCCACAATATCACTCTGTGCATCTTTGCACACTCACAGCTTGGCTTTCACTTATAAGTGAGGACATACCATTTTTGATTTTCCATTCCTGTGTTACTTCACTTAGAATAATGGCCTCCAGGTCTATCCAAGTTGCCTCAAAAGATTTGTGTGTGTGTCTGTGTGTGTGTGTGTGTGTGTGTGTGTGTGTGTGTATCTAGATCTAGATCTATCTATCTATCTATCTATCTATCTATCTATCTATCTATAATTTTTTTAAAGAAAGAAATATTTAATAGAAACTTACAAACAGAAGCAATGTCTTGGGTGCCCACAAGACATTGGATCCCCACATGTATTCTCCAGAAAATATCCTTTATATATTAACTTATTGGGGTAAACATGTGCAGTTGTTCACACCTCAGACTCACTTGCTAAAACTTGTGACCCTTAAGAAGGTTAGATAAACATCTTTATGATGGGGTATCTACGTCACAGGCATTGTTTAAAGAACTTGCTGCAGAGCACCTTGGTCTGCAAGAGTTAAACATCAGTCTTCATGGTAGTTTTGCTTCAGGATGGCATCACTAGGCTGTTTTTTTACATTATATGATAATAACTGTACATATTTGTCAGATACATAGTGATGTTTTGAAACATATAATGTTTAGTGATTAGATAGGTTAATTAGAAGATCTGTCATCTCAAACGTTTATCATTTCTTTGTTGGGAATATTAAAATCCTCTTTCCTCATGTTTAAAACTATTTATTATTAGCTATAGTCATTCTGTAGTCATTCTGTCTCCTATCCGGGTATTTTGTATACTTTTATGAACCCCTAGCCTTCCCAACCTCTGGCATACTCTGTTCTTCTTTTTTTATTTCCACCAGATCTTCTTTTTTTAGTTTTCTTATGTGAGCGAGAATATGTGGTGTTTAACGTTTTGTTTCTGGCTTATTTCGTGAACAATAATGTCTTCCCGATTCATCCATGTTGACACAAATGACATTTCATTCTTTTAAGAAAAATGTTATGGCTAAATAGTATTCCACTGTATACATATACCACGTTTTCTTCACCCATTCATAAACCAGTGTTTAGGTTTTAAAAGACTATATGCATTTAGGATAATATACCTGGCTTGGACTTCTCCAAAATTAGAAGTGTGGTTGGATACTACCAATAAACTAAGATCTCTGAAAGGCAAAACCTTAATAGGCAAATGAGAAAATAATACATGTCCAGCAAAAGGTTAAAGTAGACATTCTTAACACTCAGCCAGGCACTGCAATGAAAGCGGAATGTAAAGATTTGTTGCTCTAAGAATTTGTAATAATAGCCTTTTACTCATGTATATTTGGGACTAGAAGTTAAATTTTATAGTCTAAGACATTACAAACTGAAAAGTTTAGCTTAAAGAAGTTGAGACTGGAAGTCACCCCAGTTAGCGTTCACAAAGTCAAACTCTTTCTGGTAGACTACGCTGTAAACCTGACCTCAAAGAATTCCCACAGATAATATTCTAATAAAACTGAGTTCAAAATAAAATCATAAAATGTGAAGTCCAGGTCAACATAATTGAAAGTAAGTACAAACAACAGACCTACAAAGGCAGCAGACATCAGAATTAGCGCTTATACAGTCTGAGCAAATGCGAAGGAAGGTTCTTTCTCTTTCTCGTTTCTCAAAGCAAGTATTACTAAACAGATATTTTTTCACATGCCTCATCTTTAATTCTATTTTTCTTATGACATAAATTACTGCATAGAAAATTACGTCATACTATAAGAAAATAAAAGCTATGTATAATCCCAATATCCACAGATAAAGAACCTGTCCACACAGTTTATATATAAATCTCATCAAAACAGATTTTTAAAAGTAACATGATTATTATCTAGCTGTTATCTGTCTTGAGATTACCATGTATGTAGAAACACGTTAACAATGGTTAGTTGAGTACTGCAAATGTGCATAATCGAATTCTTCTTTATATGTTTTTGTGTTTTCTAATTTTAGATGCAATGAAACTGTATTTTATAGTACAAAATGGAGTTTTTGATGAAAGGAACAGGTATCAATTAAAATAAATGAATATTGGCAAAAATAGCAGAAGAAAACATAAATTAATATGAGATTGTATAAATTACCCACCTGTTTTCCCAAACATTATAAACTGAGTTATTTACTAAACATCAAATTAAGAAAAATCATAACACATATATAGCATAGTGTTATTATATAAAGTAGTTACAAAATTGGTAAGAAAAACTATCAGACATGAAAAAGTAAGAATAAACAAATGAACAATTCCCAAGAAGTATATGTTATTGGTTAATCCTGTAATAATGCTTAACTTCATTAGTAAGCCAATATATGAGAAGTAAAGATATTTTTGTAAACAAGTTAATCACATTAAAAATAGTAACATTCTTAATTTTGAGATTGAAACAAGAGGAACATTTTCTCACTATTAACGTGGGTTTACTATTTCTACAGGGAAGTTTATCAATTCTGAAAGGAATTTATCAAATTTCTCCCCATTGGAATTTTCCTTAAAAATAATTTTCATACTGTTCTGTCTATATACTAGTCATACTGAACCTTTAGTTTCTGCAATGCCCTCCAGCCTTCCTGTCTCAAGATCTCCACATGATGCTTTCCCATCCCAAATTTCTCCTCCTTTGTCCACCTTACTCCTACACATTATTTAGATTTCAAACTAAACCATCTTAACTTCAGTGACATCTTGTCTATTCCCAAGACGAGGTCAGGTCAGCATCCTATAGTTTTTCTCTCCCAATATCGTAAGTTTATTGTTCAAGTTAGCTACCTAGTCACTTGCTTTCTATTAGAATATATTATCCATTATACTGGTTTCTTGTTCACTACTATATCCTAAATACCTAGCAGAGTTAGCATTAAAAATATTTATTGAATGAATGAATAGCATTCGTGCTCTGTGATACTCCGTTTATTTCTAACAGTGGAAAACTGAACTTAAATGTAAACAATATGATAAACATTAAGTATGTTATTGTATATTTACAAGGGGAGCTATTATATACCTCTTAAAATTATTATTACAAATAATTTTTTGAAAACATGAGAAAATGAATAAATTCTACATATTCAACATAATCTATATGGAGAGCATAGTTCTTTATACAGTATAATTTCAAATAAGTTAACCTGATATATTTGGTTGAAATAGGTAGTGGCATTAGGGTTTTTTTCCCCCATTAGCTTTTAACTGTCTGTACATTCTAACACAATAGTTTAAAAATATAAAAATATTGATTTGGAAACCTGACATAGAAAATTAATTAAGACCTTATATTTGGAAATATTTCACTCATCAGGCCATAAGTATGAGATCAAGGCACTTTCGAAAGTTGCCAAAATAAGTCACTTAGTTTATAACCTGGGTTGGACATAAAAATCCACTTTAAAACTCAAAATTTGAAACCTGTCTGTGAGAGCAGGTCTGTATATATGAATGTGTGTGTGTGTGTGTGTGTGTATGAAACCTTAAGGCAGAACATTTCATATTTCACACAGATTCTATCCTGTGTTCATCTTGTGTCCTTTGATCAGAGACTGTGTTGAATATTGCATCCTTTGGATTTATGCTTCCAGAAAAATCTTAACTTTAATTGGTTCATAACCTGCCTTATTTCAAGTCACTGATTTTGAAGAGTACATTTATTTCATCAGTGTTTTGATTCCATATCCCCCAACTAGACTCTTATTTCCCTAGCTATATTACACATAACTAGATCTATTACTATGACTATTTGCTACACATCATCCATACACCAATAAATAACGTTAGATTAAAAAAATGAAAACAAAAATAACTCTTTAAATAATTAAAATAGCACACTGAAAAGAAGCATCCCATCTGTCCTCACTTTTACGTCCTAAATGTCAAGATTGATCTAACTTTCTTTCTTTTTTTTCCTTTGGGTTGTTTTGGAGAATGAGTGTCCTTGCTTTCAAAAAGTCAGGTAAAGCACAACAAGAAGTCTTGTTTTCGAGCTTCTCTCAGTGTTGTAATCTTTACAGCGAACAGTCTCCAGGCTGATGTTTTTCCTCTAGGCAGTTTGTAGAAAGAAGCTGCAGGGTACGGAAGCTGATCAAGCCGCTGAATTTGCATGTGAGATTAAAATCTCCTCAAAGATTGAGATTCCCTGAAACGTAGTTAGTCATAACAATTATGGAAGATTTCAGTGATCTTTAATGACACAGTTAAAAAACAACGCGAGAATGCAGTGCAATGAAACATATCTTTAAAGATTTATTCACTGGATTATTTTCATGGAACATTCATTTGTCCTGAAGCTGTCTATGTGGCTCTGAGACTTTTCCGTTTTTCACAGCGCTTTAATTGCTGTAGTGCCCTCAAAGAGGCTTGCTTTAGTTTGCTGTTTCCTAGAATTAAGATAAATGAATGACCCCAGGGATAGAAGACACTGGTTGTTATTCCAAACATAAGCAGAAGTTTGTTTCCTGGCACAGAAAAAAACGATATTTCTATGAAAACTCCTACAAAATACAAGATAAAGAGGATGATGAAAGATATCAAAACTTTCATTGCCTTCACATGAGCTTCTGTGTTGGCATCTCTGAATCCTGTCAGATTCAATTGCATCTGCCTGTTGTGTCTCCAAAGGGAAATGATTAACAAAACACATGTAATTAGGGATAGCATAAAGGAAAAAATGACTCCCAGATTTAGCAAAACCTGTTTAATAATGTATTCACTTCTACTCACGTTGAAATCCCCGACTGTGGCATTCTTCATTTTATGATCGTTAAACATCTTCGCAGTCTGTGGAAAACTCAATAACCATGAAATAAGTATGCATCCCATCAGAAAGGTAGGAATCCTGTTTATTCTGCTCTTCAACCAGAGAAATATGGTGTTGGAAAAATTTGCTATCTTCAGGAAATAGAAGATGCTGAGGCTTGTGGCAAACCATATACTTGATTGATTAATAATTAACCAAAAGTAACTAATACATTCAACTAGGTTACCAGAGAAATATATATCTGGAGAGAATATATGCATGAATCCATCTGTAATTAGTAACCATATCAGACAAATTCTAGAAATAGCTAAGCCAGTTAGAATAAAGCCAATCGTAGAGAACTTATGCTGGGCACAGTCAATGCAGTTTACAAGTCCAATAAATCCATTCCCTAACACCCCCAATACTGACTCACTAATCACAACAAAAATGAAGATGCCATCCACTACACTTAGCATATTGGCTAATCCTTAATATTACTTCTGCTACATCTGTCTTAGATTACCTGCTGCAGAATGAGTCCTATATTGGCTGTTTGATGGAAGTGTGACTTTCTTCTCATTCATTATATAAAGACTTGAAATTGCCCCAGTAATGGCTTGTGATGGAATTAGAAATATCTTGATGAAGACTTCTCCAAATATTTCTACAAAATATAGCTAGTCTAGAGAAAGTATGTTCAGACTGAATACCTGTCTATAATTTGTTAAGATGCAAATGAAAGTTTCTGTTTCATGGATTTTACATGTCCTCCGGAGACTATTTTGCATTTAAGAGTTGAATTTTGGAGGAGTGACAAACATATACCTATATAGAACATAATGCACAACAGAAACAAAAATTTGACTTTATCTTTTTAAACGTCAAATTATGATTTATGTTGTTTATAATCAATTTATATATGTAAAGGAAAATACAGAAGTGAAAAACAAATTTAGGCATTGTAGATACCTACTCTAAATGATCAATTTAATTTTTAATTAAAATTTAAGCTAACCCAATCCCATTACTGGGTATATATCCAAAGGATTATAAATCATTCTACTACAAGGACACGTGCACACGAATGTTCATTGCAGCACTGTTTACAATAGCAAAGACCTGGAACCAACCCAAATGCCCAACCATGATAGACTGGATAGGGAAAATGTGGTACATATACACCATGGAATATTACGCAGCCATCAAAAACGATGAGTTCATGTCCTTTGTAGGGACATAGATGAACCTGGAAACCATCATTCTCAGCAAACTGACACAAGAGCAGAAAATCAAACACCGTATATTCTCACTCATAGGTGGGTGTTGAACAATGAGAACACATGGACACAGGGAGGGGAGCACTACACACTGGGGTCCGTTGGGGGGAAATGGGGGAGGGGTGGGGGGGTGGGGAGGTGGGAAGAGATAGTATGGGGAGAAATGACAGATACAGGTGAGGGGACGGAAGGCAGCAAACCACACTGCCAAGTGTGTACCTATGCAACAATCTTGCATGTTCATCACATGTACCCCAAAACCTAAAATGCAATAAAAAAAATAAATAAATAATAAAAAATAAAAATTAAAAAAAAAATTTAAGCTAACCTCTGGGTATCGCAAGTTTCACAAATATAACATAAATCTGTTGCTATTGTCTTATACTTAATAGTTATCACACCCTTGAATGCAGAAGATTATGTTGACTGCCCTTGACATGAAAGGGTCTCAGGACTAATCTAACACATTACTGTTTGCTGGCACCCACTCATTTATCCAACAGTGTTTATTGAATATCTAGGGACAACAGGCTCTCTTTTGATCTTGAAGGAATATAGTGGTAGACAGAATCTCAAAGTGTGTGTGATTTAAGGATTGTACATTCTAATGAAGGAGGTGGGAAACAATCAAGTAAATCAACATATTCATCTAAGAATTAAAAGTGAAATCTAAGATTTATTGAGCTTTTTTTTTTTTGAGACGGAGTTTCGCTCTTGTTACCCAGGCTGGAGTGCAATGGCGCCATCTCTGCTCACCGCAACCTCTGCCTCCTGGGTTCAAGCAATTCTCCTGCCTCAGCCTCCTGAGTAGCTGGGATTACAGGCACGTGCCACCATGCCCAGCTAATTTTTTGTATTTTTAGTAGAGACGCAGTTTCACCATGTTGACCAGATGGTCTCGATCTCTCGACCTCGTGATCCACCCGCCTCGGCCTCCCAAAGTGCTGGGATTACAGGCTTGAGCCACCGCGCCCGGCTTATTGAGCTTTTCTTACAGTCCTAGCACTATGTTAAGTACCTTAAGGTTATTTTTCTCATCTTAATTTCACAAGCCTTCAATCCTTTAAAAGAGGGGCTACTTTTGTCTTTACATTTTACATTAAAAATAAACTAAGCTTTAGAGAAAGAAAAACCTTATTTCATTTATCCTGGCATGACTCCCACAAGTAAAATTACACAATAATTTCAAAATGAAGTTACGTCAAGCATAGAAATAGAGTATAAATGATAGTCAGCAAAACAAAATAAACCAACCAAAAGCAAGTAGAAAATTTAAATTCTCATGGACTGCACATATTGGAATTGACAGATGAGAATATGTATAGATAACTTAGCTAATGTATACACTGTTTACAAAAAACAAGATGCAATTTCAGAGAAGAGCAGCAAGAGATTGTCAGAAAGAAATGGGAACATTTGGGGACAAAAATTCTAGAAATGGAGAATATAATTACATAAAATGTAAATGAGGTAAATACAGTAAAAGATTAATATTGACAAGGAAGAATTAAAACTCTGACAAATATACTGCTTATAAGAAACTCAATTTAAATATAAAAAGGGAAAGCTTTAAAGTAAAATTATGGAAAAATAAGCCATGAAAACATTATCCAAAAGAAATCTTGCAGTTATAATAATATTATATAAAGCAGACTTTAAGATAAGAAGCAGCATTAGAGAAGAAATGTGTAGTGTATTTTACAACAATAAAAATGCTCGAATCTACAGAAAGATATAGCAACCCCAAAGTTTATGAACTAAATAACCTAGCAAACATTTATAGAAAAGGAAAAGAAGACAAATCTACAGTCATAATGAAAGACTGTAAAATACATAACTCAATAGCTTACACTAGAAATAGACCAAAAATCAATAGATGGAAAATACATGAAAAAACAATTGACAAACGTAGTGTTCAATAATAAGATAATTCATGTTCTTTTCAAGTGCACATATTTTTGCCAAAATTGATCATACGTGAATCCAAAATATCTCACAAGTGTTACATGAACAAAACTTTCCAAGTATGTTCTATGAATAAAAAGGAATAAAATTAAAGTTCAATAATAAAAAGATAACTAGAAAAACAAACAAGTTGCTAAGATAAAAAAATTCTAAATACTCCTAAGTAAAAACAGAAACAACAAAAATTATGAAAATATTTTTAAGTAAATAATACAGGTTGAGCATCCCTTCTCTGAAATGTGTGAGACCAGAGTGCTTCGGACTTTGGATTTTTTTCTTTATTTTGGAATATTTGCATTATACTGATTAAGTATCTCTAATTCAAAAATTTGAAATTCAAAATGTGCCAATGAGCATATCCTTTGAGCGTCATGTCAGCACTCAAGAGTTTCAGATTTTGGAACATTTCAAATTTCAGATTTTTGGATTAGGGATAGTCAACCTGTAGTAGAGAAATGACCTATCAAAGTTTACATAATCCAATTGAAGCCATTCTTTGAAGGAAATATGTGGCCTCGAATGTATCTTTCAGAAAAGAAGAAAGGCTAAAAACAGATGAATTTTGTTTTCATCTCTAGAATCTAGAAAATTAAAAGTAAAAGAAAATTGAATTCAATAAATTACATATAGTAACAGCAGAAATCACTGAGAGAAAATAATTAGGTACAGTAGTATACTAATGTTGGTCAAAGAAAATGCAAATTACTACAGTCCTTAGAAATATCAAAAATATAGCCTGGGTGTGGTACTCATGCCTCTAATTTAAGCACTTTGGGAGGCCCAGGTGGGAGATTCCCTTGAGCCTAGGAGTTTGAGACCAGCCTGGGAAACACAGCAAAGACCTTGTCTCTACTAAAATAAAAAAATACATGAAAATAATATAGCAGGGCATGGTGGCATGCACCTGTAGTCCTAGTTACTTGGGAGGCCAAGGCTGGAGGATCACTTGAACCCAGGAGTTTGAGCTTGCAATGAGCTATAATTGGACCACTACACTCTAGCCTGGGTGATAGAGTGAGACCTGATCTCTCTCTCTCTCTCTCTCTTATATATATGTGTGTATATATATGAAATATACAGTTACATATTCTTATATGTAATCTTTTATGATTAGACAGTACTATGAACAACTTTATACAGGATTTCATCAAGAAAAATTAAGACAATTACAGGCTAATATAGCCTGAACGTAGATGCAAAACTTTCAAACAAAATGTTAAAATAGAATCCCGTGATACATAAAATAATAATTCATCATAACAAAAGGAGTTTTAAAAGCTAATTGTGGGATTAAAATGAAATACTTGAAGATACAGTCAATTCACACACACACACACACACACACACACACACACACAGAAAAAGGACAGAGGGCCAAAAGTAAATGAAATAAATGAAAAACAGAGCAAAATTCAAGACTTACAGCTAACCAAACTGATAATTATATTAAACATAATTTGACTAAACACACTAATTAAAAGATAGAGATTGTTGGAATGAATAAATAAAAGCACAATTAAATGTTACACCTAGAAGATAAAACATTAAATATAAAGGCACAGCTTGAATGTAAATAGATAGAAAAAGCTATACTATGGAATCTGTAACCTTAAAAAGCAGGACTGGTTATATTAACAAAGTGGTCATATTATCAAGACAAGCAGTAGAAAAATAGAAGGATGTTTTATAATGATAAAATAGACAATTTATCACAAATACTTAACAATTCTGAAGGTGTATAAGACTAATAATTATGACTAAAAATAAATAAAGTAAAATTAACAGAACTAAAGCAAGCAATAGGCATAGCAAACATTTAAAAACCCCCTGTGCCATGATCTGCGTGTGTACCCTCCAAAGTCTGCATGTTGAAACTTAATCGCCAGTGTGCCAGTATTAAGAGGTGGGTCTTTTAGGAGATAATGAGGGCAGACCTCTCATGAATGAGATTAATGACCTTATAAAAGAGGTGTGAGGAAGCTATTCATCCTTTTTGCCCTTTCACCTTCTACCATGTAAGGACACAGCATTTGTCTCCTCTGGAGGATGCAGCAACAAGGGGCTACCTTGAAAGCAGAGAGCAGACCTCAGCAGACAGGTTTATCTTCAACTTCCCAGCATCCAGAATTGTGAGAAAATAAATTTCTATCGTTTATAGACTACCCAGTCTAAGGGAATTTGTTATAGCAACACACATGGAATAAAGAGCCCTCTCATGGTTTGAAGTCCAGTAGTGTGATGCCTCCCGCTTTGTTCTTTTTGCTTAGAATTGACTTGGCTATGCGGGCTCTCTTTTGGTTCCATATGAAGTCACTGT